GAAAGACAGAGAGACAGAAAGTGAGAAATGACCCCCCAGGGGGGATGGTCACGCCGCAATCCCTTCTCCATTCTCCTCTCAGGATCTTGGGCATGCATGCACACGTGCCCGGCGTGAGTTTTAAGCCACTGGGTCCGGGACGCGAACCGCAGTCGACTACGTGGGAGTCCAGCGACATAGCCATTACGCTAACTGCTGGTTCCCGCCTTAAATAATTCTTAACAAAAAAAAAGAAAGAGAAAAAGAAGAGACTAGTAGATGGCATAGCAATTGTGTTGTTGGACTCCCACATGGCCAATTGTGGTTTGAGTCCTGGACTTGGTGGCTTCAAAATCACACTGAGCATGTGTGAATGTGTGCCCAAGATCCCCGGAGGAGACTGAGAAGGGATTGCAGCATGGCCATCCCCTGTGGGGGGTGATTTCTCACTTTCCCTCTCACTGTGTCTTTTTTTCCAGCAAGTGCACACATTCCTGAGGCTAAAAAATAAACCCTCTTAAGAAAAAGAAAAAGAAAAAAAAAATCACTAGGACCCTTCCACAGCCTTGGAAGGGTGAAGGGCCCCAATACTGACGCTTCTATCAGCCACTCCTTTTTTTTTTTTCTTTTTCATGTGTATGCTGATGAGAGAGAGTGACAGACACCACAGGGTCTGGTCCTGCCAGTTCCCTTCCTCCAGTCTCCTGCATGTTGGACCCCAGGCACTCGCACATGGGCCTAGCATTTTGCAGGCTGACTGGGAACGGGATTTGAACTACGGTCACCATGGGGAATCCAGGGACCAGCAGTTAGCCTAATGGCTATGTCGCTGGACTCCCATGTAGTGAATCACGGTTCGAGTCCCAGACCCAGTGTCTTAAACTCACGCTGGGCGCATGTGCCTGCATGCCCAAGATCCCGAGAGGAGAATGGAGGAGAGGGGATTGCGGTGTGGCCATCCCCCCTGGGGGGTGATTTCTCGCTTTCTATCTCTCTGTCTTTCTGGTGAGTCCACGTGCCCTACAGCAAAAACCTCCTCCCCCCCCAAAAAAAAAAAAACCTATGGGGAATCCAGCTTCCTTTCAGCGGTACATGACTGCTCTGCCACAAAGCTACTCCTTTTTATTTTTTTAAGTTTATTTCTTCCTTGAGCAAGACAGAAAAGATAGACAAAGCAACAAGGTCTTGACATCATAGTCTGCGTCTAGCTCAGCTGACCCTGGATGCAACCCCAGAACCTTCCTGTATGGGTCAGCCTTGTAGAGTTATGCCTTACTTCTGTGCAGCTGTTTAGCCTTTAGCTTCTTGAAGATTCTGTCTCTGCATCTGCTGCAGGTTTCCCTTGCAGAGCTTTTTTTTTTTTTTTTTTTTTTTAAAGATTTTTGTTATAGGGTATGTGTGCTTGCTGGAGAGACAGAGACAGAAAGTCCCCCCCCCAGGGGGATGGCCACACTGCAATCCCTCCTTCTTCATTCTCTTCTTGGGATTTTGGGCACGCACACACAAACCTGGCATGAGTTTCAAGCCCTGGTTCCAGGACTCAAATTGCAGTTCTCCATGTGGGAGCCCAGCAACGTAATCCTTATGCCATCTGCTGGTCACATGTTAGGCGATCTTTTAGACAAAGTGGGTGCTGACTGTCCAGGCCAGGGGTCTTCTAGACATGCTGTGACCCTCCCCAAATGTTACATGCTGGTGAGCGAGGAAGAGTAGATCATGGGTCAGGGTCAGAGGAAGTGACAGTGGCAGGGGGGCCAGACAGGCGGGAGCTGAGAGTTGCTGGACTGGTGCTTTGGGACAAATGAACCAGCCCCTGACACCAGGCTCCTCTGAGGGACCATGAGCCTTTTCTTCTTTTTTAAGAATACCCTTTATCAGGACCAGCAGTTGGTGTAATGGCTATGTCGCTGGACTTCCATGTAGTCGACCGCAGTTTGAGTCCCGGACCCGGTGGCTTAAACTCACACCGGGCGCATGTGCGTGCGTGCCCAAGATCCTCAAGATCCTGAGGAAAATGGAGGAGAAGGGGTTGTGGCGTGGCCATCCCCCCTCGGGGGTGATTTCTCGCTTTCTGTCTCTGTCTCTGTCTGTCTGGCGAGCGCACGTTCCCTATAGCAAAAACCTCTCCCCCAAAAAAGAATACCCTTTATCATTATTATTATTATTTTATTTGACCAGGGAGACAGAGAGTGAGAAAGTAAGCCACCAGGTCCAGGACTTGAACCATGGTTGGCCATGTGGGAGCCTAGCATTTAACCACCATGCCACCTGCCAGCCTCAAAGATGAGCCAATTTTAAAACTAGAGTATGCACAGTCCTGGGACTTTGAGCAGAGGGGCAGACACTGCTTCCAGCAAACCTGGGCTGGGAAGGCGAGTGCTTACCATGGTGGAGGCTGGACATGGAGTCCATGGTCCATGGACAGGGTGGAGCCCTAGTGGGCCTTAATCCCCTCTGAGAGTCAAATACACCAGTAGACAGTGCAAGTACCACTGGTGGAAGGTTGCCGAGTAAACGTTTTCCTCCTTTGACTTCGTTATCCATGATTACACGGATCATTGATGCTTAGCACAGGACTAATGTTTGAGTTTGTATTAAGTCATAAATTGAGGGCCAGCTCTACGGCATGGTGGTTAAAGCATCCAGTTCCCACATGGCTAACTGCATGGTTCAAGTCCTGAACCTGGCAGCTTGAGAAATGCTCCAGTCACGCATGCTTGCATGCCCAAAATCCTGGGGAGGGAGAAATGGAAACAGGATTGCTGCTTGACTTGACCATGCCTCATGGAGGGTTCTTTCTCCTCTCTCTCTCTCTCTCTCTCTCTCTCTCTCTCTCTCTGTGTGTGTGTGTGTGCCTCTCTGGTGAGCATATATGCCCACCAGCACAAAAAAGAGAAAGAAATCATGAATTTTTAAAAAATATATTTACTTTATTTTACTTATTTTTAATTTGACCAGAGAGAGAGAGACAGACAGAAAGCAAGAAAGCAAGCCACCAGGTCTGGGACTTGAACTGTGATCAGCCAGTTGGGAGTCCAGTGCTTTAACCACCACACCACCTGCTGGCCTAAGAAATAATGCATTTATAAGAAAAATGTAGACTGGTGGGAGTGGTGGTGGAAATCGTAGCAGGACACACTACTGCCTGAGCTTGGGGAACAAACCCTGCTGCCAGGTCACAGGGAGAGTCCGGTGCCTGGCTTGAGAACACAGTGCTTGCAGGGCAGGGCTTCTTCCGCACTACAGGGGCTGTGGACCTGACTCTTCTGCCCTCCACCCCTAGAAAAGCACCAAGACTGTGGTCGAAGTGGGGCGCACGTTTGCCACCATGTTCTCGGATATCACCTTCCGTCAGAAGCTCCTGGAAACGCGCACCGAGGAAGAATTCAAGGAGGCCTTGGTGCTGCAGAGGCAGCTGCTCACCATGAGCCAGTGTCCGGTAGTTCCAAAAGTGAAGGAGTATGGCGTGATCTCCCACCACGACCTCAGACACCCACAGGTACAGGGTGAGGGGGAGCAGGAGCAGGAGGGGGCGTGTCCGGCCTGGGCTAAGGGGCACTCTGTCCTCCCCCCAGCCCCCGAAGTGCAAGGACTTCATCCCTTTTGGGAAGGGGATCCAGGAGGACATTGGACGCAGGTTCCCTGTGTACCCACTGGACTTTACTGATGGTACGTGGCCCGTGGACCATGCAGGCTGTTCAGGCCCCGGGAGCACGTGTCTACCCTGCATCCCACACCAACCACCTATGCCATCCCCACTCACAGGCATCATCGGGAAGAAAAAGGCCGTGGGAAAATATATCACCACCACCTTGTTCCTCTACTTCGCCTGCCTCCTGCCCACGATTGCTTTTGGGTCTCTCAACGACGAGAACACGGATGGGGCCATCGGTGAGGGGCTGGCGGCTGGCGGGGCTGTGCTGGGCAGAGCCCAGGCTGCGTGCCTGACTGACTCCCCGCTCCACAGATGTGCAGAAGACCATAGTCGGGCAGAGCATCGGAGGCCTCGTGTACGCGCTCTTCTCTGGCCAGCCGCTGGTGGTCCTGCTGACTACCGCGCCCCTGGCCCTCTACATCCAGGGTGCGGCGGGGTTGAGGCGGGAGAGGGTGCTCGAGGTCTCTGGCCCCAGCTGGGCCCTGACCCCCAGCCCTGTCCCTGCAGTGATCCACGTCATCTGCGCGGACTACAACCTGGACTTTCACTCCTTCTACGCGTGGACAGGCCTGTGGAACAGCTTTTTCCTCGCGCTCTATGCCTTCTTCAACCTCAGCCTGGTCATGAGTCTCTTCAAGAGGTGACTGGGTATCCCCTAAGTCGCTGGGACCCTCGAGGCCAGGGATCCGGGTTGGCCTCGTGTCAGCCCCTGAGGCTCTAACCCCAGGGTGGATGGGCTATCTCCACAAATTGCTGCCCCAAGGTGCTGGGGAAGGCCCCTTGGACCAGGCCTGGGGCCCTGGTCCTCTGCAGGGCAGGAAATGGGGGCCCTGCACAGGCTCGGAGTTACCTCCCCTTCCCCACCCCTTGGCGACACAGCCCTGTCTTATGAGGCTCATCACCTCCTGGTAGGTCAACGGAGGAGATCATCGCCCTGTTCATCTCCATCACGTTCGTGCTGGATGCCGTCAAAGGCATGGTTAAAAGTGAGTGCGTGGCCTCAGCCGCCTGTGGCAGAGGGGGCTAAACTGGGACGGACGGCTCCGAGCTGTGGCCTGGCCAGGGCAGACGAGAAGGGGTCAGGCCTAGGTCAGGGATGCTGTGCTGGAGGGCCGCAAGGCCCAGGCAGGATCAGACACCAGCACTGGGCCAGGTGACATGAGGTGTCAGAGATGGGATGGGGACAATGGCAGGAGTGTGGGTGGATGAACATTTTGGGTCCAGGGTCCTCCCCACTCCTCCCTCCCTTACCTCCCCCTAGAAGCCCCCTGTCTTTTCAGGGCCCCTTCCTCCCCTCAGGGCCCCTCCACCCCACATCCAGGAGGAAACTGGGCCCCACCTCCAGAGCCCCGACGGCTGAGGCCTGTTGGTCTGTGTCCACAGTCTTCTCCAAGTACTATTATGGGTATCACTCTGATGAGTACCACGCAAAAAGGCCTTCATCTCCGGTGAGCCTGCTGGGCCTCGACCTCAGCCTCAACACTAGCCTCCACACTGCCCTCAACAGCAGCCTCATAAGCCCGATGGAGGCGGCAGTGGCAGCGGACAGCCACGGCGCTGTGCACTCTGGCCGGGCGACTGCGGTGCTCAGCCTCCTCATCATGCTGGGCACGCTCTGGCTGGGCTACACCCTCTACCAGTTCAGGAAGAGGTGAGGCCAGGGGCTGAGGGGAAGGGGAAGGGCCGGACCGCCCCCCGGGTCACGCTGACAGGCCCACCCGTGTCTCCAGCCCCTACCTGCACCCCTACGTGCGCGAGATCCTGTCCGATTGTGCCCTGCCCATCTCGGTGCTCACCTTCTCCCTCATCAGCTCCTATGGCTTCCGGGAGATCAAGAGTGAGTCTGGGCTGAGGGGTGGCGTGGGGTCGCTCCCTGGGGCTGCCAGCTTAGCGGAAGTATGTGCCCTGCTGCAGTGAGCAAGTTCCGCTACAACCCCAGCGAAAGACTGTTTGAGGTCACGCAGATGCACTTGCTGTCCCTGAGGGCCATCGGCAGTGCCATGGGCCTCGGCTTCCTGCTCTCTATGCTCTTCTTCATCGAGCAGAACCTGGTGGCTGCCTTGGTCAATGCCCCGGAGAACAGGTCTGGAGGGCTGGGAGGTGGGCCAAGGGGTGCCAGCCCCCCGAGGGTCCCGTGCCCTTCCCACGTGTGCCTGTCTGCCGCAGGCTGGTGAAGGGCACCCCCTACCACTGGGACCTCCTGCTGCTCGCCATCATCAACACCGGGCTGTCTCTGTTCGGGCTGCCCTGGATCCACGCCGCCTACCCCCACTCCCTG